GGATGGTGGGGATAGGATGGTAGGGGAGGATGGTAGGGGAGGATGGTGGGGATAGGATGGTGGGGCTAGGATGGTGGAGGGTGAGTGATGAAATGATGGAGGGGGGGCAGGGACTGCTCCATAACAGTGAACTCAGTAAATGTGGCAGAACTGGAGGCTTGGAAATAGCTAATGTGGCAGAGGCAGGAGGATTAAGATTTCAATGTCATCCTTGGTTTCCTAAAGAGTTCAAGGGTAGCCTGGGCTACATGGGTTGCTGTCTCACAAAACAAAACAAAAATTGAAAAGATAATTTCCACTGACCATCACCCTAATTTCATTAAACAAACAAACCATTTGATATTATATATATTTTAAAAAGCATAAAGGATTTGTTTAACCTTGTATTTCTGCTCCTGGAGCAGAAACAGTGAAGAAATCGTGCAGGAGTAGAGATAGGAATCTGGCAAGGAGAGACAAGAAATAGCAGCAATACTGGAGCCCAGGGCAGCACCCCACCCCAGAGCCAGAGGCGGAGCTGTGGTCTCCAGACCTCAAGGCCCCTGGGGCAGGAGCTTGGAGCTTTAGAGCACCTAGAGGACAGCATGTGGGGTAGCCATAGCCAAGTGACACAGCAGCCATAGGAGAGCCAGGGGACACCCCAGCTCCCTCCTGTTCTGCTATCGGGTGTTCAAGGTTTGGTCCTCAGAGTGGCATCATTGAGAGGTGGTGAAACCTTTGTGAGGTGGACTCTTATGGAAAGTCTACAAAAACACTGGCTCAAAGAGGACTGTGGGACCCTGGCACCCATTTTTCCCCTCTGCTCCCTGTCCCATGATAGAAGCTCTTTGTTCTCCTGCCATGCTGGCTGCCCTCATCAAAAGCCCAAAGGCCCAAAGGATCACAGGCTGAAACTTCCAAAGGTAAGCTGAAATAACCCATTTCCAGCTAATACCCCCCCTCCTCTGATTAGCCAGGACTCTCTGTTGGAACTCAGCTGAAGTCACTGGCCTTGCAGGTCAGTCAGTGTCCTAGCACATGTCCAGGAAAGGCTATGAATGGCCATAGTGCAGGGGATGCCCTCAGGGTCAGGAGGGAGTCCAACCCCGGTGACACAATGGAGACAGCTCATGTGACGCTATAGTGACAGGCACATGGTAGAGTTAAGGACAGAACTGGGCCAACCCCACCCACAAGGTGAGAAGTTCAAGGGTAAAGGAGAGATGTTGACAACAGGAAGCCAATCCCACCCATAAGGCTGGAAACTCAAGGATGAAGGGCAGACAACGCATGCAGTGAGGCAGACCTGGACGGATACCTGGCATGTGGCTTTGTGGTATAGCATTTACCTGGCACTTGGTGTCCTTGGGAGGCAGGCTCACCCTTCAGCTCACTCCTCCTTGTACCCAGGGATTCCCAAGGGCCGAATTAGCTGGATGCCAGCTGCTAGGCAAAGGAGACTGGGCAGCACAGCTAGCTGAGGCCTGCAGCATGCAGTGTGGGGCAGTGTACTGGGACTGTTTTGGCTGTAGGTCCTCTGGAACCTCAGAAAACTGTGTTCCCATGATGGGCAGAGCCAGTGCAGAGTCTGAGTGTAAGCGTCCGACCTGGGAGAGGGAGGTAAAGGGAGTCAATGGAAGGGAGAATGTATGTAAGGAGGGGGTGTAAGTTTAAAAGCCACAGGAGAGAACTCAACCGAGAAGGGAAGTCAGATGTACAAGAAAAGAAACAGTTGGCAGACTCTGCAGCTCCTGAGAAGTGGGTGGGTTGGGAGAGGCATTCACAAACTGATTTGGAGTAAACACCTTAACTAGGAGAGCTGGAGAGAAGGAGGGAGACAGAGGATGTGTGTGTGTGGGGGGGGGGTAGAAGGACAAATACATGGAGGGATTTAAAGAAGGAGAGATATATACAGATAAGTCTACAGATGGACAGATAGATGGATCGACAGACAGCTAAATGGGACTAGTTTGCTTTCTATTGCTTTGATAAAAGCAGCTTGGGGAGGAAAGGATTTATTTGGCTGACAGGTCCCAATCACAGCTCAAAAGGGAAATCAGAGTAGGAACTCCAGGCAAGGACTGAAGCAGAAGCCACAGAGAAAATGTTGCTCATTGGCCTGTTCCGGGTGACTTAGCTTTTTTTCTTATACAGCCCCGAATGCCTGTCCAGGTTAGCACTGTTTGTAGTGGGCTGTATGCTCACACACCAGTGAGGCTAGTCTGATGGGGGCATCTTCTCCCCCAAGGTTCCTGTTCCCAGATGACTCTAGCTTGTGTCAAGTTGACAAAAACAACAAACAAACAAACAAACAAATAACCAGAACAGGAAGAAAGGGGAGAGGAAGGGTTATATATGCACATATATAGGGGTGGACAGAGGGATGGAAGGATGGAGGATGGGTTTAAGAGTGGATATATAAGTAAGAATGGATGGATGGATGGGCAGGCAGAAGGGAAGAATGGAGAGAGGAGGAGGAGGGCTACATGCATGGGTATCTGCGTGGATGGAAGCGAGGTTTCCTTCATCTGTGTTTCTTGTTAGTACAAGATGGGCAATCCCACTTTATGGCTTCTCTGCCCTCTCCAGAGAGCAAAGAAAGATCATCTTTGTTGGAACACATTTGTTGGGGTCATCTGCTGAAGTGGGGCAGCAAAAACCTAAGGACAGTAGTGGACGACCATCTCTGCACTGGATGAGGTCACTGGCCCTTTGAGGCTGACATGGGGTCACACTGGGGTGGATGAATCGGAATCTGAGTGAGAACACACAGAGAGTGGGAGGCAGGGGGCTGGAGTGGCAGAGTAGCAACCTGCAGGAGGCAAGAAGGTAGTTTAGTTCAACCCAACTAAGCAGCTGGTGCTGCTTCAAACTTTAGGAGTCTGACCCTGAGTAGTTCACCTTAGGCATATGTAAGCACAGCACAATTTGGTGAAAACTTTCCTGGTGATAATTAATTCAATCCCATGTGTGGAACTCTTTGAAAAGTATATGTGACACCTTCCATAAAAACGGGTTCTATAGACTGACGAGCTCGTGGTAAGGGTCTGAGAGAGAATCTGGTGTGGTCTCCACCACACAGACAGCACAT